ACGTATCACAAATATGGTTTCCCTTTGTGACTTTGACTTTTCATTTTCTTAACAGTGTTGTCTGAGAATCAGCAAATTTGAATTCTGATAAAGTCAGATTTAATAATGTTTTTTCATTTATGACCTAGTACTTTTACCATGTTGTCTAAAAAAGGTTTATCTACTCCAAAAATCACCAGAATCTTCTTCTGTGTCTTCTTTCAGAAATTTGATAATTTTAATTTCTATGCTTAGGTGTATGAAACATTTTAAGTTAATTTTTGTGTTTGATGTGAAGCAAAGATCAAAATTCATTTTATTCCATGTGCAATATTTAGTTGTTTCAGCACCATTTATTTAAAAGATTACCTTTCCCCCATGGAACTATCTTGGCACCTTTGTAGAAAGTCATTTGACTATATATGTGTGTTTTAAAAGTTACTGGTTAAGAATTTAGCTTCTGAGACCCCTCCCTGTGCTCCCTAAGTGTTTGACATGGCCAAAGCCTATGGCCACTTCTTCAAGTTGCTGCTGATCCAGGACTCAGGGATGGACACAACTTGTCTGATCATTTGCTTTGCAGAAGACAACTTCAACCATCCCCACCATTGGAATTGATTTCAAGATCTGCAGTGTGGATATAGAGGGGAAGAAGATCAAACTGCAAGTCTGGGACACAGCTGGCCAAGAGTCATGAGTCATTAAGATGATAACTACCACCCATTACCATTGAGCCATGAGTCACTTAGAGGACAGAGGGAAGCCTAACCAGGGAGTGTGATCCAAGCTTCCATTGTGAACTCTGCCATCCTCCAGGACATTATTCTAGTATGCAACAGCATAGATGGGAAATCCTTTGAGATTATTCAGAACTGGCTAAAGAGCATCAAAGAGAATGCCTCAGCTGGGGTGGAGCACCTAGTGCTAGAGAATAAATGTCACATGGGGACCAAAAGGAAGGTACAGAAGCAGCAGGCAGATAAGTTGGCTCAGGAGCATGGAATCTGAGTTTTTGATTCCAGTATGAATGTGGATGAGGCTTTCAGTTCCGTGGCCTGGAACATCTTGCTCAGGTCTGGAGGCCAGAGACCAGGAAATAGCAGCAAGCCCTCCAGCAATGGCTGAAAACTTGGGACTAAAAGAATACCAACAAGTGCTACCTGGGTTGAGATCTCCTTTGTGCCTCCCCACCTTAAGCCTGGAGAATGAACCTGAGGGAGGGAGGGCTGAGGGGCTGTATGGAGGAGAAATAGAAGGCAGGGCTTAGAGAATAAAAGTGGGTAGATGATAAAAGAATGGGGAAAAAATAGAGAAGAAAAAAAGGAAAGCAAGAGAAAGAAAGAAGAAGGAAAGGAAGTAGACTAAAGAAGGAAGAAGCAAGAAAGGAAGAAATTGAGGAAGTGAAAAAAGGTGAGAAAGAGGTAGGAAGAGAGGCAGGAAGAAGGAGGAGAAAAGGAAGGATAGATAACCCTGGGCCTCAGACCTTCCCTGGGTTGTCAGGGCAAATACAAATGTAAACATATGATTTGAATGGGTAATGCTGGTACCATTTGCTATTGTGGCGCCATTTGTTGAGCAGGCCTATGACCTTGTTAAACATGACTGCCATTTTACTCTTCTGAGTTTATGTTCCCAGGACTGGAAATTACTGGAAGGCAAGAACAGAACATGACTGACCATCCCCCAAAGTCTCAGGCAAAAGATAAGATTGGAGCAAACTGGAGCTTATGAAAAACCTATGAAATCCAATCAAAATCTTCAGTGTTAGATGCTCCCAACAGCCCAGGGGCTACATGACAGCAGCCCTCCACCTTTCTATGATATAATATTAATCCAATAAAAGCTCAAAGCCCCACCCCTCAAAGCTGGTGTAACTCTCCACACCACACCCCTCTCCTCTCCTGGCCAGTGAATAAAAACTTTGCTCTTTGCACTTTTTTCTCTTTGTGAATTCTTTCACAGCCTGTGTCACCAACCACCATGATGTAATTGATTTATTTTGTTACTGGATCAGGATTTAGGGTCCTTTGAGAGGCTGGCTTAGAACCATCCTCTGAAAGTTTGGTCCTGTCAGTCTCTATGGTCTTTCTCAGTATTAAAGGCCACCATTTGCATAAAAGTCCTCAGGTTAGGCACCTTTCATCATTGTCTGAATTGCTCTCGACTCATAAACCTAATTCCTATTTCTATGGCAGTAAGGCCACCTGTATCTGACTGGGTTCTGGAGATGCCAGGACTAGTCCTACAGCTTTCTCCTTTCACCAGCTGTTTAACTGACAAGCAAAACAGCAAAGAACAGAGATTGTCTTAACATGAAGGTGTGAATATATTCTTTCTATTACGAGTTTAGAGGATTGTTTTGGGCACAGCCTTCTCCAAGAGGTTGCAGGGCTTTTTAAGAAGGACTCTTTTTGCACCTCCCCAGGAGAATAATAGCCCTAGCCTCAGGGAAATAACAGTATTGTTACCCAGTCACATTTGCATCTATCTTTGATTCTGCCAGCAATCCATTTAAGTAGCTGGTAAGCATTATTATCAAATTGTATAGATGAGGAAAATGAGACACAGGAAAAGGTTAATTTATTCACCAATATCTGCCAAGCACAGCAATCAAGTTAACAGAAACTTTGGGTGGTACTTACAAGAGGGACAAGCAGGTTTTAACAGAAACAGCCTTTAACTACTAATACAAAGAGACAAAAGTTTGGCATGCAAAAGAACCACCACCAAAAGAAAAATCAGGCTTGATATGCAGCCCCCTTCATATGCATGATACCCTTTTAATGTTACACAATATTTTTTAAACAGTGAAATTATTTCACAGACTTGATCTTTTATCAGGATAATGAAAATGTCAGATTTAGTTTTGACAAGATACTGTTAGAAGTCTTTTAATTCATGGATATGGTGTTCAAGGTGTTTAAGAAATACTCAAGCCTGCAGTATAGAAGTAGACACACAGCCCTGGAGTCAGCAAAACCTTGTTTTGCTGCTCATTCTGTTGGTAAAAAACAAGACTCAGGAAAAAGTCTGACAAGGCTGGAAAAAGAACTTGGAAATTAATAAGTGTGGAAAATAATTTGATAAATGCATTAAGTATCCAAGCTTTGATGGGGTAATGTCCTTATCTGTGGCTTATTTTTTGAGCGCTGTAGTCAATTGTCCAGCTAGATTAATTTGCTTGAGATGAGGAAAGACATGAATTTTGTGAATCTCAGGAAGACTGATTGATGTCTTCATCATACCTAAGAGCAAGTATTTTTAAAATTCAGTTTCAGTGTAGAGACCTTATTCAGTTTATTGTATGGCTACTGGAAGTGATATCTTATAGGACCTCACAGCTCGGAATGAGACATGGTATGATTGCATAAGGAGTAACAGAATACTAGATTTCAGCCAAAACTTTTATTATGTCAATGTAGAAACATCCAAACTTGTAGGAATTTTTATGAGTTTATTTGAGCCAAACAGATGACCACTGCTGGGAAGAAAAACCTCAATGGGTTGAGAAAATGCATTGAAAAAATGGTAGTTTTGCACCTTATTTTACACATTGTAATAAAACAAGGAGGCATGAGGAGGTTATATGAAATCCATTGGTGATAGATTAGGGAGGCAGGAAAAAGCACAGGAGGAACCTCTGAGACTGCATAAAGAGTAAAATGATAGACACATACTTCTTTTAGATAGGTAGGCATAGGATCGTTAACAGTCAACAGTTAACAATAGCAGTGAGGAGATTTGTCTTTGCTCTGGTGTGGTGGTTGTGCCCGAGGGGTTCAGAAAACTAGAAGTTACCTTGACATTTAAAAGGTATGTTATCATAGATGGAAAAAGACAATAGAGAGGCTCAACTAAGGTAAAGATTGACTTTTGTTGGGGAAGATTCTAACTTAGAACATCACTACTTGCCATGAACTGCTTTTAGTTAAAAACTTTAAATTTCAGGCCATCTTATGTGTTTACTGGAGGTCTCTGAGTTCATTAGGCCACCATGCAGGCCTCCCCTGAGCTCGTAAGCTTTAGTATGTAGCCTCTTTTCATCCACAATTCTAGCTAAAAATACTGAACAAAAAAAACCCCACACCATACTGTATGTATCATACAACTATTGACATATAAAGACAAATAACTTAAAGGAAAAACAGTCACAAGCAAAATTAAACCTAAGCCCTGAACAACAAAAGAACTAATAAAAAAGAAATTCGGCCCCTGGAATTAGACTCTCTAAATTCAAATCCTGTCCCTGCCCTACAAAAGGTGACCTTGAGCAACTGCGATAAACTACATCTTATAACCAAACCCAGATTCAGCAGCCTGCCACCACGAAAACCAAACTCGGGGACAGTTATTGGCGAGAAGGAAAGAAGTGTATTACACTGCCAGCATCTCAAAAAGATGGGCGGATTCCTGTCATCCAAAACCCATTTTAATATCTCTGGTCAAGTCAGCAATTCTCACAGGGAGTTGGTGAAAATGTGGGAGGGGGAAACTTCCTAGGAGGAGTGAGGATGTGCAGGCACTGATGAGAGAGGGAAGTGGGAGTAGGCAGAGGTGGCAGAAAGGGGAGTCCTGCAGTTCCTGCCCGGTTTACCCCTTGTGTTCTCTGTTCTTGCGCTATCTCTCAGTTTGCATTGGCATTCCTCCCTTTCCCAGATGCCTGTGGTTTACAACTTCAAGGAGAACTAAAGCATGGGGTGACTAAATACTTTGATTTGTTACAAAATACATAACTTTGATTACTAGTTGGGAGATATTAAACCATAGTTACAACTTAACATCTTAGTATGGGCAGAAGGTTTTTAAAATTTATTATTACCCTCATTTTATTTTTAAGTATATTTTATTGATTTGCTATTACAGTTGTCCCAATTTTTCCTGCTTTGACCCCCTGCACCCAGTACCCCCATTCCCTCCAGCAATCCCCACCCTTAGTTCATGTCCATGGGTTGTACATATAAGTTATTTGGCTTCTCCATTTCCTATGCTACTCTTAACAACCCTGTCTACTTTGTACCTACCAGTTAGGCTTCTTAATCTCTGCACATTTTCCCTCATTCTTCCCCTTCACCCGGCAGAGTTGATAATCCTCCAGATGATCTCCTAACAGGTGCTCTAAGACAGGGAGTCAAAGCAGCTCTACCTAATAATATACAGAAACAAACACAGGGAGGCTGCCATACTGAGGAGACAAAGAAATACTGCCCGAATGAAAGAGTAGGCAGAGGTTTTTACAAGGAGGAAGGGGAGGGAAAGCAGAACAAAGACATCTGGGGGAAGTGCAGGTGTCCTTGCTGGTCCTGATAGAGATCTTTATGGCCAGTATCCTTGAGTTAATCATCTGGCCTTTGTCAGTTTAGCAGCACTACAAGGTAAGGCTGTTTCTTCAGTGAATACACAGGAACTGAACCTGTTTATTCAATAAAGTATGCTTAGAAAAGAAGCTTTTAATGTGTAAGCTCTTGTTTTGGGAGAGAAAAATAAGGCTAGAGTAACAAGCTGGGTTTAATATTTACTAAGATTAATATGGGTAGCTTTATGTAAGTGTAGTGTATTCATTCATCATTACAATCTTACTCATCTTATTCCAGGCAAAGAAAAGGTGTTGAGCTAAAGTCAAAAAACCCTTAGTAACATGAATTGCCCAGGATTACACACAAAGGTTAAATGCAGAGCTGGGATTTGAAAGCAAATAATTTATTTGACCATTTGTTTACAACTCGTTGGGCTTTAGTACATTGACTTTCTTGAGTTTTCCATCTTTATTAAGAAATGATTTACATGTCATGTTGTGTGAGTTCAAGGCATAAAATAGTGTTGATCTGATATACTTAATTGCAAAATGATCACCACCAGAATATTAGCTAACACCTATAACATGTCACATGATGGCGTGTGTGTGTGTGTGTGTGTGTGTGTGTGTGTGTGTGTGTGTGTGGTGAGAAAATTTAAGATCTACTCTCTTAGCAATCTTCTTTCTTTCTTTTTTTAAAATTCCATTTGATATAGCAGCAAGAACAATAAAATACCTAGGAATAAACCTAACCAAGGAGGTAAAAGACCAGTACTCAGAAAACTACAAAACCCTGAAGAAAGAAATTAAGGAAACACAAAGAAATGGAATCATATACTGTGTTCATGGATTGGAAGAATTAACATCATCAAAATGTCCATATTATCCAAAGCCATCTACAGACTCTCTTAGCAATTTTTAAGAATATAACACAGTATTCTGTTATTTTTCACTTTAAATGTTACTAAGGACTTCTTTCTATAAAAAAATGCTCAGTTGTCACATTAGCCCTGATAATAAATTTCACATAGCTTGTAACATGAGTATGTGTGGTGTGAAATAAAATTATACTACAAGCAAATTTGGTTTGGCAAAGTAGTTAAGAGGCCACAGCATAAATTTTTAAAAAATGTATTTTATTGATTATGCTATTACAGTTGTCCCATTACCCCCCTTCATTCCCCTCCACCCTGAACACCCTCTCCCACCCACAATCCCCCCCTTTAGTTCATGTCCATGTATCATAAATTCTTTAGCTTCTACATTTCCCATACTATTCTTGCCCTCCCCTTCTCTATTCGCTACCTACCATCTATGCTACTTATTCTCCGCACCTTTTCCCCCTCTCTCCTCCTCCCACTCCCCGGTTGCTAACCCTCCATGTGACCTCCATTTCTGTGGTTCTGTTCCTGTTCTAGTTGTTTGCTTAGTTTGTTTTTGTTTTAGGTGTGGTTGTTAATAATTGTGAGTTTGCTGTCATTTTATTATACATGCCTTTTATCATCTTTTTCTTAGATAAGTCCCTTTAACATTTCAGATAATAAGGGCTTGGTGATGATGAACTCCTTTAACTTGACCTTATCTGAGAAGCACTTTATCTACCTTTCCATTCTAAATGAAAGATTTGCTGGATAGAGCAATCTGGGATGTAGGTCCCTGCCTTTCATGACTTGGAATACTTCTTTCCAGCCCCTTCTTGCCTGCAAGATCTTTTTTGAGAAATGAGCTGATAGTCTGATGGGAACTCCTTTGTAGGTTACTGTCTCCTTATCTCTTGCTGCTTTTAGGATTCTCTCTTTATCTTTAATCTTGGGTAATGTAATTCTGATGTGCCTTGGTGTGTTCCTCCTGGGGTCCAACTTCTTTGGGACTCTCTGAGCTTCCTGCACTTCCTGGAAGTCTATTTCCTTTGCCAGATTGGGGAAGTTCTCCTTTATTATTTTTTCAAATAAGTTTTTCACTTGTCACTCTTCCTCTCCTCCCTCTGGTACCCCTATGATTTGGATGTTGGAGCATTTAAAGATGTCCTGGAGGTTCATAAGCCTCTCCTCATTTTTTTGAATTCTTATTTCTTCATTCTTTTCTGTGTGATTGTTTCTTTCTTCCATCTCGTCTGTTCCATTGATGTGAGACCCAGTTTACTTTCCATCACTGTTGGTTCCCTGTGTATTTTTCTTCATTTCACTTATTGTAGCCTTCACTTTTTTCATCTAATTTGTGACCAAAATCAACCAATTCTGTGAGCATCCTGATCACCAGTGTTTTGATCTGTGCATCTGATAGGTTAACTATCTCTCAGTCACTTAAAAGGATTGTTCTGTGACTTTCATTTGTTTTTCTGTTTGAGCCATCTCATTTTGTTGTTGTTGTTGTTCTGGCCATGCCTGTTATGTATGAGGGGCAGAGCCTTAGGTGTTCACCAGGGCGGGGCAACCCATTTGCTGGGTTGTGACGCTATATGTGGGAACAGGGTACAAGAGGGAACAATGGCATTTGCTCCGCTCTCCGTTGGACTTCAGTCCCTTCTGCTGCTTCCCCCAAGCAAACTGGACCTTTCTGGTGCTGATTCCCATGTGGGTGGGGTTGTGCACCCCGTGGGACTTTCCAACAACCTCTCCTGTGAGGCTGGCAGTATCTCCTTGTGTCTCAACCCCCACAGGTGATTTCAATCAGTGCCTCAAGGCTCTATTTCCCAGCGCTGGGATCCTGGGTTGCACGCAGTGCCTTGCTTCACAATCTGCCACTTCGCTGGGTCTGCTGGTTGCCACCCCTCAGCTGGGGTCTGCCAGTTGCTGCACTCTTAAGCACCCAGTCCCAATGCTCTTTGTGCCTCTCGACCCCTCTCTGCCTGGTTGCCTGACTCCACCCCTCCTACCGGACTGGATGAATGTGTGTATTTTAACTCCTTGGTTGTCCAACTTCCATACAGTTCAATTTTCTGTCAGTTCTGGTTGTTATTCTGTTTCTAAATTATTGTTGTCCCTATCTTGGTTGTGCGAGGAGGCACAGTGTGTCTACCTATGCCTTCATCTTGGCCGGGAGTCCCCCAGTTCACAAAGTCTTACATCACTCTGCAGACACCTTGCTTGACTCTCTTTTTACAATAAGGTGTATCTCTGGGTGAAGGCTAGCTATCACCTGTGACCTGATATCTTAGGAGTTCCTTTTAAGCCACTTTGACCTTATATAGTTAAAATAAAAAAAGATAGGTTCCCAGTCACAGAATTACAGTTCTTTATTTGAGATACAGGTAGACACAGTGGGTTCCAACAGAGATTGGAGCTTTTTTTTTAGGTCCATCTCACATAGCAATTAAACGGTATATAACCACATACAGCCACAACATAAATTCAAAAGTTCCACATGATAGCCCTAGCTGGGTGGCTCAGTTGGTTAGAGTGTCGTGCGGTACATCAGAAGGTTGTGGGTTCAATCCTCAGTCTGGGCACATACCTAGGTTGTCGGTTTGATCCCTGGTTGGGGCACATATGAGAGATAACCAGTCTGTTTCCCTTCCTCTCTCTCTCTCAAATCAATAAAACTAATCCCTGGTTGGGATTAAAAAAATTCATATGGCAGATAGGATAATCATATAATTTAATTATTTATTAAGCTTCTACTATGTACCAGGCAGTATGCTAGGTGCTTTACATGCTGAATTCTATTTATGACAGGAACTACATACATTTTAAAAATTAGTTTTTAAATACTTAAATAAAGGTCTTTTTTAAGCTACAAAAGGATTTCACTTGTTAAAAAAAGAAGTTTAAAAAAATTGTGTGTGGTAAAGTACAAATCACATAAAATTTACCATTTTAACTGTGTTTAACAGTAAAGTTCAGTGACATTAGTGCATTCACATTGTTGTGAAACCATCACCAGCATCACCTCCAGAACTCTTACATCCCCCCAGATGGTAATTTTGTCTCCTTTAAGCAATAAGTTCCCATTTCCTCCTGTCTCTAGCAACCAGCATTATACTTTGTCTCTATGAATTTGACTAATTCAGATACCTAATATAAATGGAATCACACAATATTTGTCTTTTTTATGACCAGTTTATTTTACTTGTTATAACATCTCAAGTTTCATCTATGTTAGCATGTGTCAAAATTTCCTTCCTTCTCAGGGCTGAATAATACTCCATTGTATGGATATACGGTATTTATCATTTTATGAATATGCATTGATAGACACTTGAGTTGCTTCCACCTCTTGGCTATTGTAAATAATGCTGCTATGAACACGGTTGTATAGAACTCAAAGTTTTAAATTTGTTTGAACCCTTGACTAGAAAATGTGACAACAAATTTCTGTTGAAGATTTTCAGTGATTCCTACATTTCATGAAATGGGAAATGTAAGAATAGCAGTCTCTATAGCTGACACATCATCTCCATGATGTGTCAAAGGGAATATCTAAGAATGTTTACATTGAAATTAATAGATAATTTATTTTTAATTAAAGTATTTTAATGCTATGCTATACACCTGAAACAAATACAAAATAATATTGGATGGCAAATGTAATTAAAAATAAAATTAAAAAAGCAAATACATTATATTAAAAATCTAGATTATAGAAGATCTTATAATGAAAGTCTTCTCCCTCTTCCTACATTAGGCCCCAAAAGCAATCATTTTTAAAGATTTTAGCTGTTTTGTTTTGGTAGATAGTGCCATGTCACTAAATAATGAGTTTGAGTCAAGATTTTTAAAACTGTATACATATCAAATGACTTTCTACTGCCTTTTTCTATGAGAGCTTATTTTGTCCACCACATCCTGTTCTATGATCATAAGCCATATGCACCTGTAGACTGTAAAAATTTGTAAATCATTAAAC